TATATATATACATACATTGTGCATGAATGAGACAGATGGCAGTGAAATTTTCATAAAGTCACCAGTTTATGAATGTGGATGAGATTCCTATTATAGCATGATACCAGCTGGAATCCTAACTTCATAGTAGGTGAGTAGAGAGGAGCTCCGAGGGTCTCAGCAGACAATACAGTTGCATAGTTGCCTTGCACAGGACCTCAAAGCACAGCAATTGTTTAAAGACTTGCTTGTTGCCATAGAGCTGCAGGCAAAAGCAGAAAATCAGCGCCTAGTTGTCCTTTGAAGCCTCTCTTCATACAACTCTTGACCTCAACTGAGCATAAGTGAACATGGGCAGTGCCACTACTATTGTTATTAATATTGTTTAATGTTGTGTAAAAAGCTGGATGAAAGAATGAAAAGAATGCTCCATTGTCTCTGGAAAAGGGGCTGATGTGGGAAAACATGTTACCATGAAGACTGAGTTACATCCGCAAACCAGCTGTCGCGGCAAAATAACAAGGCGATGGCAAAGGGAAGTATTCTGTAAAACGCCCAGTGCTTGCTGAGTATTAAACATTCCCCAGTGTGGTGGTAGGCAAGGGTCGTCATCATCATCACTCCCATTCATGCTGTAGCACAGGCACCGTACACAAGTCAGTCGCATGCTCTTCAGATACATCCATGGATAGTGCTCTATAAGGCGGCTTCCAGGAATGAAGAGTGACAATGAGTAGCTGATGTACAAGTAGCATTACTTCATATTGCTATGTTACTTGACAGCATGATTACTTATTTTACATATGATTTATAGAAGACAATGGGTTTTTTTTCTCCACAATCCCAATCAGTTTAACAGCCCTAGTTGGATGTGGAAGGAGTTTACACACAGGCTGTAGCTAGCAAGTGATTGCTGTAATGGATGAGTGACACTGTGTCACGCCATCATTACAAAAACATATTTAACCGGTGCACTGCTTCTATTGTGATAAACTGGTTCTGTTCACACTACACAGAGCTATTCATGCAGTGATATACAGACGTGTCTGTGCTTCCAAAGAAGCCAGCATTCATGGAGACAGTTGCTACGAGCAACGTGCCTCAAACATCACCTTAGAACCAGATGGAGGCAAAGGAAAGGGCCACTATGAACACAGAACACTAGATTAATAGCAGCTCTGTGTCTTCTTCAGGATATGGGCATTTCATTTATCAAGCTTCTATTACAGTTGTCACTTATCTTTATGTGACCAGGAATAATGAAGCTACAGGAACGCTTAAAAAAAAAATCCCCATTGACCTGATGAATCTTCAGTTCAAAATTCTGAGAAAGCTAGAACCAGTTTGCACATATGGACCATTCAAAAAGAAGCTAAGAGTTGGCTTTAACAGGATGCCCTTTCCATGTGTGTTTTTTCAACAGCACCTGTTTGATGGCACAGCTCTACTTGGATAAAGTTTCCTCAGACTTTGAAGGAAAGTGGATTGGATTTGAAGGCTTAACCCTTGATTGGGAATGCCAGAGATGTACCCACTTCGATTTCACATACAGCTCACTGATCGTTTCTTAAAGATGAGTAACAGTCTACTATGGACAGAAGTATGGGATCAAGCACCAACTAGCGCTGTGACTTTGTCATCCCACAAGTCTAGAAGAGTGCCACAGCAACTTATTATAAGAGATCATAAAAAAAGACATTTATAGGTCTATCGAGGTAACCTGCTCCCAATAAACCGAATACAGGCAAACAAAAACAAAAAACGTTTTCAAGGCTTGAAAGAAATACTATTGTTGACGTTTTTATGTGACCGCTGACTAGCAAATCCCCTTTAGACTTTCAATACACAGCTGCTTTCTACATAGTAAAAAAAAAAAAAAAAGCAAACAGGAAAGGGTGACTGACATATTACAAAAGACACCGATCAGACCTCGCTAAATGAATGGTGCTGGAGCCACAATGGCACATTCCTATTATATATCCATCATTATCACACTGCTGTTCCATCCAATGCATTGCAGTGACAATAATCCATTTCTGCAGACACAGTAGATGTATGAGAGTGTGTTTTTCATCGCGGGTGCTCCAATATCACCCACACAGGGACCTGGCTGCAATGAACCTTTGCTAGGTTAAAGCATTCATATTACCGGGGAGGAGGGGGGCATCATGGCATTGCAAAGTAATAGAAAGGAACATCTTACCAAATCGTAAAACGTGTGTTGTCCCTTGAGTATAGCCAATCCAAAACAAGCAAGCGGCCAATCTTAGGGTGCACCTGAAGAATGGATGAGTTAGAAAAAGGAAAATAATCTTCATGGTTCCAGTGTACATCCGCACGTTTTCCTTCCCCCGATAGAGCGTCAGCTTCCCCGGCAGGGTAAGAATGAAAGGACACACAGACTGGTGATGGCCCTCAGACACGATCACGGCATGGTCACAGAGACATGAGCGAGGAGGATCCGCTTCCCAAACCCATTAGCAATCCCTGCATGTTCTTCATTCACTGCGCCAAGGAGCAACCTTCAACTGCAAGGAATGGTGGGACATCCATGTTAGTCAGAGGGGGGAGAATCCTTGAGAAATCCAAACGCCTATGTCCATCCCGGTAAGCCTGGAAGGGATGAAGGAAGGGGTGGGGGGGAGGGAGAGAAGGCAATCAATAGATAATCCAGCTCCGGAAAAAAAAAAAAATCGCTGAGCTATGGCAGCACAGGGGCGAAGTCTGTGTGTGTGCAAAAGCGATTTACTGGGGAAAGTGGTTCGCCGTTTTCCCTTTTCTGCTGCACTGCTGCACAGCTTCTGACGTGCAGCCAAAGATTAAGCGAGAGGAATTGAGATCGCTCCTCTCTTTTTAAGGCTGCCAGCCAGACAGCCTTTTCCCAATGCGAATGAAGCAAGTGATCTGATATCCCAGCGCTGCTTCGCTTTCATTCGTAGCCTAGCCTTCCCGACAGCTAGACGGCTCGCAGTGCTGGCGATCGCGCTTGTGCAGCCCTATGGAAGATCAATACGTGCTTATCGCTAGGTGACTGGAGTAGCTCTGAGCTGCTGCTGATGCTGATGCTGCTGCTGCTGGAAATCAGGAACTTTAAGATGTGATAGTAATGTAAGATCCAACGTTCCAGTTTATCACTAGGGGATTTAACCCCTTCCTGGAAGGAGGGCTATGCCACTCCAAGTCAGCGTGCCTTGCAGGTGGGTGTTCTGGTGGCGAAGGGGTTCTAAACGCTTCTGCTGTCATTTAAAAAAAAAAAAAGTCTAATTGGCTTCATATGTAGTGGCGTTTTGTAACAGATCTAAACTTTAACACGGAACGTGATCGCTGTCATGTGTTACACCTACACTTTGTACCTTGTTAGAGGAAGGGCTGACACATGGATGTGGCTTCACATTGGAATGGTGGCACTGCTAGAAAGTAACGCATAGCCAGCAGCAGTTGGCCACATTATGTGTGGAAAGTGCAAATAAAAGTGGGATTTAATAGTAAATTGCCTCCCCCAGCATGTCACAAGAGCAATCTTGATACTGGAATGCCATACTGTATACTTTGGTGAAGGCTGCTTATCCAGCTGAGGGGTATAGATGGATACAAACTGACTTGCATAATGTATTGGGATCATTTCTAATAAGGGACGTTTGAATGCAATTCATCTTCCCCTACACCTCCCACCTTCTCTTCCTAGAAGAAAATAACAAAATGACATTCTGCCCCCACCAAATCATGTGTCTTGTGCACGGTGAAAGAAATATGGATCGTTCTATATGTTTCCAAAATGAATCAGAATGTTTACTGAAGACAAATAGACTGTCGATATCAATAGCCCATTCTCAAATTATTCAGCATCATTGCCCTTCCAAATGGAGGCATAAATGCAGTGTCAATGTAAGTATCATAAATGGCCAGGTCTCATATCTGGAAGGTAATTCTGTGAAATGCTTTGGCTGGAAGTAGACTCTGTATAAGAATACCTTATACAAAAAAAAAAAATCAAGGAGCTAGCGACTCCTTCAGTTCATCTATACTCACATAGATGTATTTGAAACACACAACAGACACTTTCACATTTAAATGCTAAGGTGTATTATTTATCTCTAGGTGCTAATCTAGAATGACTAGGTTTGGTGATGTGATTTAAGCCTGGCCATGGTTTAGATTGTAAGCTCTCGGGCAGGGCCCCCCTTACCATTTGGTATGGCTTGTATTGTAACTTTAATGTCCTCCTTATATTGTAAAGCACTACACACACTGTTGGTGCTATATAAATCATAAATAATAATAATAACAACTCCCATGTTAAAAGCATGGGCAGATCTCATGGTGATACATCAGCGTTAACAGCACAGCCATATTTCTGTCATGGAGATCAAATGCAAGTGGAATTTTATTCCCCCTGTGTTTGGGCTCTCAGTTTTGCCTAAATATAGCCACTTCAATTTAGTATTCCAGTAGTGCCTGCCTGGGAGTACATGCAACTTCGGAAAACATCTTATAACAAAGCTTGTCACAGTATCCCCCAGAGGACAATGCATATTCACTTGAAAGGCAGCTGGTCTAAAATCTGGTTATGTAGCCATATTGTATAAGCACACGTTGGCTGGCTATTTAAGAAACAGATTGTGGTTGACAATCTTGACAATGAGTGCTGTAGTATTGATGAGGAATATGGGAAAGCAGTTAGTTATTAAGTAGGATGTTTCAGCACGATGGTCAGTACATCGTTACATGCACTGGTGTTTTTAGTACTGATGAGAAATGCATGATAGCATTGTTTATAGATGACGTTTCAGAGCCAGGATGAGTACCGCAGTAGTACTGATGAAGATGATATGGGGCAGCAGTTATTCAAGGACAGTACCGCCATACCTGATCTGACCTGTTTTAGTGATGAGAATCATGGTGCTGCATTATTGTGTATGACATTTCAGCACCATAGAGAGTACTGAGTTAGTACATAAACTGATCCGTTGTGACGTCGATGAAGAATGAAAGACTGCAGTTTTTGTGGGTGCTGGTTTAGCACCAAGGAGAGTGCAGTGCTAGGACATAATCTGACTCCTTCTAGTACTGGTGAGGAATATGGGGTTACAATATATCATATCCTGTAGTATTGATAGAGTACGTAGGGCAGTAAGTATCATGGGTGCCATTTCAGCATCAAGGAGGGTACTGTGCTAGCACATAATGTGGCACCCTGTACTGATGACAAACATGGGGCTACTGTTATTGAGTAGCATGTTTCATACCAGGGATCCTTGTAGTACTGATGAAGAACATGGGACAGTAGTTATTATGCTAGTCATGTCAACACCTAGGTAAGTACCCCACTAAGACATAATCTGATTCATTTTAGTATTGACAAGGAATCAGGGGCAGCAGTTATCGTGTATACCATATTTCAGCACCATGATCTGGATCCTTCTAGTACTGATGAGGAACATGGGACAGTAGTAATTATTTGCCCAACACCAAGTGTATAGGGTTAGGACTTAATCTGATTTCTTTTAGTACTGATAAAAATATGGGGCTACTTTTATTGTGTATCAAATTTCAGCACCATGATCTGGATCCTTGTACTGTAGTACTGATGAGCAAAACGGGACAGTAGTTATTCTGTATGTCATTTCATCATCTAGGAAAGTGACACACTAAGACATAATCTGTTCCTTTTAGCCATGATCTGGAACCTTGAAGCACTGATGAGGAACATGACTTAAAAGGTATTGTGCGTGCTATTTCAGCACTAAGAAGGCTATAGGCTTGAACATAATTTATTTCCATGTAGGGCAGATTAGAAATATGGGGATACTGTTACTGTGTATCACGCTTCAGCACTAGGAAGAGTAACACAATTTGCATCCTTGTAGTAGTGATTCGTTACATGGGACAGTAGTTGTTCTGTCATTTCATCACCTAGGAAAGTACTCCACTAAGTCATAATCTGTTTCCTTTCAGCCGTGATCTGGATCCTTGTAGTACTGATTAGGAACATGCCATTTCAGCACCAAGAACAGTAAAGGGCTAGAACATAATGTGTTTCCATGTAGTGCAGATAAGTAATATGGGGTTACTGTGTATCACGCTCCAGCAGCAGGAAGAGTAACACAATTTGGATCCTTGTAGTACTGATGAGGAACATGGGACAGTAGTTATTCTGTGCTCCATGTCAGCACCAAGAATAGTACCGTGCTAGCACAAAAAGTGACAGGTTATGCTACTGTTGAGGAAAATTAATCTGCAGTAATAGCGTGTGAAGTTTCAGCACCATGGAGAGCACGCCACCCAGACATGATCTGACTTATGAGTCATTGTAGCTGATTGTAACTATGAAGCCAATCACCTCCAACTACCATATCTCCGGGATCATTTAAATGAATAGGTCTAAACTCCATTACTTCATCTAATGAGTCGTTGGTGAAACTACACAGAGAGCAGCACGCTTTTTTTTTTAGTCCGCACTTGGACTGTAAACCTCCCTGGGCAGGCACTGAAACAATTGCAAAGAACACTTTGCACCATACCTCACAAAACCCACTGAACACCAGCCTGGAACTTATCTGACATGTACTGACGTGCGCTGAGTTGATTTATTACACCACAGCACTGAAGGCGCTGCTTTGAGAATAGCACAAATGTGTTTTCCTTTGCATCGCAGCAAGCTTATCTCAGAAATGATATGCTGTGTGGTGGGAAGGTATCTTTTATTACCTTTGGTTTCAAATGTGAAATATATTTTAGAGTGAGTGCTGCTGGCGTGCCTAGAGAGGGCCTATGTATTTGTCTATCTGAGCACAGGGAACTACTGGTTTGGGATTACTAGAAAATTGATAAACAGGAAATTCTGTGGAATTTTTGTCCAAGCTTTTTAATGTCAGAGGCAAACATTTAGGTTTTTGCATCATGCGTTTAAATGTATACCTACAGTACACTTTTCTGTATCAACCACGAATAGGTTTAGACGTCATTATGGAATCCTAGTCTTCTGGCTATAAATATTGATGTATTTGTGCAGATGTTTTTTTCTCAGATGCCCCTTGTGGGTTATTAAAGATTACCCTGTTTATCACCCTGATATAATGTTAAAATGGTTATGTTTTGGGATTTATTTTTTAGCAATAAGTAGCAAGTACTGGGGACCTAACCAGCAACTAAATGATAAATTGCACTTTTTTTTTCAAACAAGGCACACAACAATGAACACTGCAATGATACACATAACTAATCAGAATTCACCCTTCCATGGTCTCATTCTCATTACAGTTAACTAAAAGCTAAATGGATGCTATAGATTATTGTAATGTATACATATTTCACTACTATGTATATTGGGTAATCCTAAAATGATTTTAGTTGTTTAATGTACTATGTTCAAAGAAATAGGTCAGCTGAATATAAAAAAACAAAACATAACAAAAAACAAAAAACATATTAGTATATATGTTTTCAGCACCTTTTTTCATAGTTTCCTATTTTATAAAGCATGGGAACAGTGATATTTGCATATTATGTAAGGGCATTCTGCTACCTGCTTGGTAGTGTGGTGACCTATCGATCCTCTTTTAAGGGTCTACCAGACCTGGCCTATATGATTGATCAATGCATTTTTGCATTCT